CAAATTCAGTCTTATCGCCAAGCCGTAGATTCCTATTAATCCCACACAGAGCTTATATGGAACTCATATGAGACAAGGTTTTTTTTCTTGTACCTCTCTATTGTATTCAAAACGTCCGTAAATGTCCGAAGCTATGCAAAGCATGTTATGCGAAGCATGCTACACGAGTTAAAAAAGAAAATTTAAAAAATATTTTTGAACCAATCTTTTTACTAACATCCTTTAATAATTAATAGTTGTATATAGTGTTTTACGTCTCATGCATAATAAAAAAATGCAAAAAAGGCCTTTGATTAAATATAGTCTTTGTATACAAAAACCAAAGAATAAAAATTTACTATACACAAACAGTACCGTAGAAACTTTCATGCTAAACTATGCTCGTGCAATATAAAATTACTAATCGTGCACCTCATATCTGGCATAAATATATATATATATATATATATATATATATATATATATATATATATATATATATATATATATATTTCTTTAATTTTCTTTAATTGATCAAAATGAAAACAAATGCAACAAATAGATTTATAGTTTGATAAATAGATGCAACACCAGGCCCCTCCATGCTTACGAAAATAAAAATACAGACGCTACTGACAAAGCAGCAACTGTGTCTCCAAAAGTTACTTTGTTATGCTGTCTTTGAAACCATTGATTAATGGAGCGTTCACTGTTGCTTGGGAAAGCGCATTCCATGGGACACAACTCTATATAAAAACAAAAAATAGTGTCGTTCATAATTTCGTACAAGCTAGAGTTCTAGTTTCTCTCAAAATATGGCTTAGCTTTACTGTTTGAAAGTTTTTGCGGCATAAAAAAACTGACATTTTTAAGTTAACGCGTGATTTTAAATTGCTTAATAGGGTCTGCTCTTTTACGACGTTCACATGTGTTGTTAAATCGAAGTGTTTGAGATTTTCATAGGGCAGGTGTTTAAAAGTTGGTAATGTTTTTGTTGCTCGATGTTGGATGTCTATATATATATATATATATATATATATATATATATATATATATATATATATATATATATATATATATATATATATATATATATATATATATATATATATATATATATATATATATATATATATATATATATATATATATATATATATATTTCATATATATATATATATATATATATATAGAGTGCAATTTTTCTCTTAAAACGCAGCGAAACGGCGTTCCAACATCTTTTATATATATATATATATATATATATATATATATATATATATATATATATATATATATATTTATATATATATATATATATATATATATATATATATATATATATATATATATATATATATATATATATATATATATATATATATATATATGTATATATATATATATATATATAAACATTTTTTCCCCTCGTATTATTTTATAATAAATGTATTAAAAATTCTTTAAACTGAAAATGAGAATGTGGGTTATAAAGATCAAGTAAAACATATTTTTATAATCAAGATCAAGTAAAACATATAAGTATAACACATGAAAACATTACCGCACTGCGTTTTAGAATCTATTGTTTCTTAGTAAAAACTAAATTTACTTAAGTAGAGTTTGCTTTAACTTATTTCCTTGTTTATTTCGTTTGTTTTTATGATGCCAAATTATTTTTTGTCCGAATATCAATTCCACGAACATTTGCGTTTCTAAGAAAATGTATTTTTTCTGTTCAATTCTTGTCCGAATATCTCATAATGTCTTACAATAATTTTTTAAAACTCAAACTTTACGTTATTTGCGACAGTAGTATAAAAACATTAGTTAAAAAAATAACACAAAACTAAGTATGAAAAAACCCATCAGTTTCTTCTCGGTTGACTCTCCAGTTCCAAAAAAAATCAAATTAAGTGCAAAAGAAACACAAAAATCAAAGTTACAACGTCAGATTTACCTTCTGCAGACAGTTACACCAACTACTGCTTACCAAGTTGCTGAACAATAGAGCAAGAAACAGAGTTTTGTTCCAAAATCAAGTGGCTCTGTTTTCGACAAAGCTTTGCTGCACAACCTGCCTAAAAGTGAAATCACTTGGTGCAGAAGCTAAGATCGGAATGAAAATATCTAAAGAATGGTCCTATTATAAAGTTTTTTAGTATGGCAACAGTTAGCTTTGAGAACCAAGAGAGCAACAGTTAGATTTGATATGTAAGAAAATATTTGTTCACAAAAAACGGCGACTTATAGTTGCATTAAAGAAAATAAAAAAAGCTAAAAAAGAGACTCTTTCAAAAAATATTTTAAAATCTTTAACGTCTTAGAAAATTGTAACAGCAAACATTTTTAGAGCTGCATAAAAAATTGTAAAACAATTTTCCTGAAACTAAAGGAGAGTATTATTTTTGTCTTTATAATTACATCAGCTTAGAAGCCTAGCATCAGCTTTTCAATTAGCATAGCCTACATCAGCTTTACAATTGCATTTAGCATAAAGAACTTCACCAGTAGACTGCCACATATGAGTAAAAACTTTGTATTGTTTACGTTTCACAGACGATGCAATATTACATTTTCTCATAAACAAATTTATGGATGCGTATACATTTTTTACAAAATTTTCTTTAAATGACCGATAGCCAAGAGTTTGATGCTTTTTGACTCTTCTTTTACAACTATCCTTATATATAGTCCCCTCGACAAAATAATCCTTGATAAAACTGTAAATTATATTTGGCTAAAATAAATGCCTCTTATTTAAGTTGAAATACTAATGTTTATAGAATTCTTTTCATTGAAAATAACAAGTTCATCATGTTTAAGTTCACAAAAAAAAGCTTTAGATGCCGGACAACAGTTCGAAGAACAACTAGCATCTGCTCTGTTTTCTAAATTAGCATTGAAAGATCTGATCACTGTAGTAATATCTACTTCAAAAAAATATATATTTAAATGGTCTATCGCTTCATTTTAGACATATAAAAAGGTCTACCGTTTCGTTTTAGATATATAAAAAAGGTAGAGTTCCACCACCTTATTTCTAGAAAAAAAGCATTGCACAAAACTATATTTATATATATATATATATATATATATATATATATATATATATATATATATATATATATATATATATATATATATATATATATATATATATATATATATATATATATATATATATATATATATATATATATATATATATATATATATAGTTTTGAAGCTACCAATTTCAATGTGGTAACAACGCATATAAATATTGAGTTTTCACTTAATTATAAAGTAAATCGCAAAACTACTTTAAAAATTAATGCAAAATATCCATAAATATTATTCTGTGTCAATCATAGACTTTTTTAAAAAATAATGTTTGGTTGTAACTAAGAGTTGCAGAATTTTAGAAATTGCATGTCTTTATTTCATCACTAAGTACACTGCATGCATAATTTGTACAATCCCAACATTTTAAATATTCATAAAATCTGTAACTAAATTGGCAAGCTGTATACTTGATAGGCCTGAGTGAACAATTAAAGCAATCAAACGTTTTTTCAAATGTATTTTTCCAGATAGGGAAGAAAATTAATAATCAATTAAGCATTTATATCAGAATCTTGAATAATACTCAGAGGTAAAAGTACTCTATTCTTTTATTGATATAATGTTACAAGAATTCCAAAACAGATTTAGGGACAAAAAAACCGAAAATACTAAAACACTTAATGCACTTAAAACTCTAACAAGTACATCAGTACGGAAACATAGATACATAAATATAAAATAGGTAAATCAATTTTGAAGGGCAAAGATTTGAATCGTCATGAATCTTTTAAATCCTTATAAACTGTTTACAACTTAGAGCAATAATAAAATAATCCCTCAATTATTTACAATTTAGAGGTTGTTTTTTTTTTGAGCAAAAAAAAAGGAAGACCTAAATTACTAAATTACTCAGAATTACTAATGTTCTATTCATTTTACATAATGCCTAGAAATGACGTTATAACAATTTTTACCTACGCCAAAAAGAAACATTAATAAAAACTTAAAAAAATTTGTGATATTGGAACATTTATCAATTATTAATTCTTGAAGATTAAATTAAATATATTTTAAATTATTTTTAAAATTAAGCATAAGATTTTTAATCATTACTCTTTATGATTGGTCGAAGTTAGGTTGAATATCGAATACCTTTTTTTTTTTTAAAAAAAAAAAAAAAAAAAGCTAATTCGCAGATGGTAGAAAATGTATAATGTATTTACCACCGTGGTTATTGCCCCACTTGACAAAAAAAGCCCCTGACCTTTTATAATCGTTCGCACGATCGTGTTTATTTGCTCACTTTTTATTACTTGCAAACAATTACCAAAACAAAAACTCTTCGTAAAATACTTTCAAATCAATTAAAAAAATATTGGTTTGCATTTCATAAAAACATTGGTTTGCATTTCATAATTTTAACAACATGTTATTATTTTAAAGCTTGTTTTGTATTCATTGTTATTTCAACAGTTTTAAAACTTATTGTTATAAGTTTGTTTGATTTGTGACAGCTTACGTAGAGCTTTAGTTTTAATCTGTAAAATTAATAATATTGCAATATTAGTATAACACCGATATAGAATGACACACCCTGATTTTAGAAAAGAAAAGTAAACTTTTAAACAAATCATTTTTTTTTTGAACAGACACAAACTTTAAACGAATTATTCTTTTTAGTCAAAAAAAAAAAAAAATAGAAGTAACTTTATTTATATTTTTTTATATTTTACTTAGCATCTTAAAATTATTATCAGAAGAAACTTAAAAATATTATATGCGACCTCAAGCTTATAAAATATAAAGGTTTTTATCAGTTTCATTAAAAAACTAACTAAATTCATAGAGACTGCAAAACGTGCACTTTATTACAAAAACGAAATATTGAAATAAAACAAGAAAGTCACAAATATTAGAAATCATTGGCTTGACTGAAATATTATTTTGTAGGATACTTTTTTCTATTGACGTCAACATGGATGATGGTTTAATGGCAGTAAATAATTTAGTGACCTTCAGATAAATCTAACATAACGAATTATGGTGAGCCAGCATGATTGTCAAAAATAACCATCTTGTTCCAACCAAAATCTTAAATGTGAGTACGATAATTTATTCGATGGAAAGGTTAGTATTTACCTAAACGTTGATACCTTTACGTAAATACTGACCTTACCATTGTATAACATTTGTCGGATTTTATAAGTTATCAGATTTAACTTTTATGTATCAGGTCGATACTTTATAAATATTTTATTGGGAGTTTAAGTAATAAAGGTATAAAATACATACATACGTACATACATACATACAAACATACATACATACATACATACATACATACATACATACATACATATATACATACATACATACATACATACATACATACATACATACATACATACATACATACATACATACATACATACATACATACATACATACATACATACATACATACATACATACATATATATAGACACACACACACACACACACACACACACACACACACACACACACACACACACACACACACACACACACACACACACACACACACAAGGTCAACAAGTATAATTAAAGAGAAAATATGAAATTTGAAATTCTTTATCTACTTTAAAATATTTGATTTATGGGTTTGATCGTGAGCAGCCATAAAAAGTCTAACTTCCGTTACAATTGCACGTTAATAAAAGATATCTTGGGCAACCACCCTTTTCTGAACTCTCGTCTAATTTTACAGGTACGTAATTTGTTACATATTTTAGTTATTTGATATATTTTTCTAAACTTTTTGTATTATAATTCAGTAGTATTTAGTTAATATTACCAAACAAGTAATATTAGTGCATGTTGTCAAATAAAAAAATTGTAGACTTTGAAACGCTGCAAGTTGATAACGTCTAATTAGGTCCACTTAAAGGTGGGTAATAAGATTCATGGACTTTATTATCCTCTCATCAGCATCATTCAAGCAAAAATTAAACTTTTAAATTTAGTATAAATATAATATACAAAGGTTTACATAAACATTAGAAATTTTTTCATTTTAACACAAAACACAAAATTTTTTTTGGTAAGGGGTCGTCCATAAAGTAGGTACGCTTTTTTTACGTCTACCAATCCCTCCCCCCCCCCCCTGCATTTTGCAATACGCTTTTTTGAGTACCCTCCACCTCCTTAAAAGTACCTTAGCTTTTAAGCTATTTATCTAACATTTTATGATTTTAAGATTTTTTTTTTTAAATTTAGTGTCTCCTTTTTTTTATGTAAACCTTTTTATAATTGACCCACTGCTCTCCCATCTCATATACGCCATCTGCAGACCCCCTCTTCCCCTCTGAGAGTACGTACTTTATGGACGATCCCTAAATCCCTAAATACTTAAAACATTCGTTTCTTTAAGAAGTAGTTTGAAGTTCAAAAAACGATTTTGAAAATTTATTAAACAAGTTGCGTGTTGTGATGCTGAGAATAAGTTTTCAGTAAAGTTTTATATAGACTTCTCCATTTAATATTTGCACAATTCATATGAAAATAAATAAGTAGTATAATTGTGTTAATTGGTTTTTATTTAAAATAACTTGTAAAATAAATTTGCATAGAACTGCTTTTGCAACTTTAGATTAGTTGAACAGACTAATCATTCATACCATTTAAAAATGAGCATTTTGTTATTTTATAAAAAGTTATAATTTTTCATAAGATAGTAAAGAAACAAAAATAGAAAAAAACAAACCAAAAAAAACAACTAAACGTCACAAAATTTACTTATCAATGACAGATTTACGTTTTATTGATTAGCTTTCTCACTGAATAAAAGCTCAATATTTTAAGGTCTCTCTAAATAACTTTCAATGACCGAATTAGAACTATGAAAGGTTAGTTTGCTCAGGCCATAAACAGAAGGCATAACAAAGCAGTTTTAACCAAGATATTGGGTGTGCGCTAAAATAATTAGATAATTTTTTTTTTTCTATTTACTACAATACATTTATATTTAAATATTGTGCGCATATGTATGCATGGGTACTATATATATATATATATATATATATATATATATATATATATATATATATATATATATAATATATTTTGTATGCATGGGTACTATATACATTTGTTTTTAAAAGTTACGTTCTAAATGTATTTTAAATGTCTTTTAAACGTCTTCTAAACATTCTTACACAAAAAACGTTTAAAAGACGTTTAAAATACATTTAGAACGTAACTTTTAAAAACAAATGCCCGTCGGGATAATGTCAAGCATGCGAATATAATAATGAAACTTATACATCCACTGAATGTGTTAATACCAAAAATGGTCAAACAAAATTTGAAACAAATATTTGAGTTGTGGCTGCTTTTCGAGAAATCGGTAGGAGACATGAATCGTTAGTAAATGTTGCCAGGTGTATGAATATGTTTTCAATTCAATGCAAAACTTACAATTCCATTTTTGATTCTTTACATACAGCTTAAGAAAAAGCTGCAGAACAAAGTATGCAAAAAGCTATTCATCAAATAAAAGAAAAATTGAATCATAGCAATAAACTCAGGAAAATTTATTGACATTCATGTCTTGTCAAAATATCGCATAAAATGTGCAACTTATGATGCATTAAAAAGAAAATAATTTTAATTTTGATTATGAAAAAAAAAGCCAAGATCACTTATTAAGTGGGAAATGTTCCATAAATCATGCAAAATCTTCTGGCTTGATGGAAGCAATTGGTGCGTTTAAAATATTTTGACTTTCGGTTGAAAAGTATATAAAATCAATACCTTGGAGATGGTGATACATCTTCATATAAAGAAGTAGTAAAAAGTAATTCATATGAGAAATTTGGTGATATTATTCCTGAAAAGTATGAGTGTGTGTGTCATGTCCAGAAGCACCTTGGGACAAGACTTATAAATTTTATCAAACAATATAAAGGAACATTGACTCCCTCATCAGAAAAAGGAAAGTTAACAGAAAAAAATATTAATTTAATGCAGAATTACTATGGAATGGCCATACGAAGCAATAAAAATGCAATCTACAGTATGAAGAAGTCGATTTTGGGAATATTATGGCGTTTGACGATGATAAATACTGTCACCAGTTTTTGTCCAACAGGTAGTACAAGTTGGTGCAAATACAAGAAATTAGAACCTAGTGTGCCATATATTCAAAATATAAATTTCCCCATGTGGGTCCACTTAATACTTTGTCCTGTCTTCGGAGAATCGTCTTCTGATGATTTGTTGAACAAATGTTTACACAGTCATACTCAAAATTCAAATGAGACGCTCAATAATATAATTTTAAACAAGTGTCCAAAACATATTTTTAAAACTATATTAGAATTTGGTGTTTAATTAGCGATACTGGAGTTTAATGAAGGGTATTTCGGAGTCAGTCTTTAACCAATATGAAACTTTTTGTAGAGTACCTTTTTTAAAACTTTCATGTCGCAGAGATAGTTAAAGTTTTAAAAAAAGGCTGATGATGCAAAACAACGCAGAAAAACCATAAGAGCTAATAAAAAAGGACTTATTGAGATAGCAGACCAATATAATGTTCCAAAAAGCTATTCTGCTGGAGCTTTTTCACAATAGTTTATTTTTAAAATGATTTTTATGACACTTTGATTTTTTAATCTTTTTTTCTTCACTTTAAACATCATAACTCGGCCAAAAATTTATTAATTTGCTTGAAAAATTCAGAAAATGTTACAATTAATATTCTCTAAGGGATGAGTGAAGCAGTTTTTTTTTTTTTTGTGTACTTATATAACTGTTTTACCAAAATGTAAAAAAAAAAATCGAAATAAAAAAACCTTTTTAACAAAATGTAAACAAAAATGAAACAAAATGAGTTTTAGCTTTGTCACTTTAATTTTTTTTTCTTGAGTTATTAAGTTTGAGGTTTGTCATGATTTTTTATCAAAATATACTTATATTTTAATGAAAAATCATGGCAAAAGTTAAGAGCAACAAGTTGATAAAATATTTTATTACTATTCTTTAATTAAATTAATATTCATGGATAAATTATGACCTTCATAAATTAATTTCATAAACATAACTTTTTATTGTCAATATTATTACGTTTCTGTTTCAACACCAGAAATTAGCTCATTTTAAAAGTTTTTTCCCTAATATAACCACTAAAATTCAGCATTTACCATAACCTAATATTCGTGGACAGAAGTAGTAATTTTGGTCATATCCCGAGACCTCGAAATGCAACAAAGATAAACCTAACAAAAATGCACCCAAACACCGTTTCACTTGATTTCCTATTCTACTTTACCTACTGTATATATAAATATATATATATATATATATATATATATATATATATATATATATATATATATATATATATATATATACATATATATATATATATATATATATATATATACATATATATATATATATATATATATATATATATATATATATATATATATATATATATATATATATATATATATATATATATATACATATATATATATATGCATAAATATATATATATATATATATATATATATATATATATATATATATATATATATATATATATATATATATATATATATATATACATACATATATACATATATATACATATATAAATATTTAGAAAATTTCTAATTAATTCATGTGTAAATAAATACATTTATTATTGTGTTATTTGTACAAAAATACATATTATATTATTAGTTGTTATATGTAAAAAAATACTTTAATATTATAAGAAACATTTGTCAAAACATAGTTTATAAAAACATAATTACAAAAATTAACACAAAAATATACATTTAAACTTGTATTTTAAACATTGCCAACGTTCTTTTTTGTAAGGTATACATTTTTTTTTTGCTAGATTGCTCATTTTTTTACATGATATACAATTTCTTGCAAGTTATACATTTTTTTTGCCAGGAATTCATTTTTTCAAAATTCTTTACTGCTATTCTATTTAGTTGCTTTTCTACTAATAATTATTGCTAAAGGGTGTTAATTTATTGTTTGTTATACAATTTAGAAGTAATTATTTCTAATAAAAATATTTACAGGAATTAGAAATAGAGTTACAATAACCCATAGATCAAGAATTTTATAATATTGAATATTGTGAAAAAGATGCAAGATATACATTTTTTTGCAAAAAAATGTATAAAACCTTTCAAGACATTAAATGGAGCAATATCTATTAAAATATTTTATAACAAGAAATCCATAATGGCGGAAAATTTGTAAATTATGACCATTAAAAATGGTATTTTTGAAGCATAATAACTTAATAAATCAAAACTCAAATTAAAAACAATTTTGCATATAATATCATAACATGATATTATGTTTTGGATGATTGAAAATGATTTACATAAATCATTTTGCCCAAAGAGTTCAGTCTTTTACTTTCAGTACAATTTCAAAATTTCAAGCTATAAATCCTTAAAAATTGGTCGAAGTCTAAAGGGAAAATGTGTATGAGAGTTTTTAATGCTATTGGCTCTTGAACCAGTATTTCCACCATATGTTGGTATCATGAGGGCAAATTTGTGACGCTCGAGCAGATCATTTGTGTGCACGAAATGAAACGATATTCTACATACGGCATTTTTCATAGCGTAAATATAGCTGAGATTTATTTTATTGCCGTATCATAAAAAAATTGCATAGAGTTAGTTCATTTTTTGATATGTTGTCTTTGATTTAACAAGGTTGCATACTCGAAATTCTTTAGCGTTTCTGCTAATATTCAATGCATACAAATTTAATTGATGTTATACGATGTTTTATGTAAGGTTCAAGTATGACAATATTATAAAAAGTCTGAACCGTCTTGGAGAACATTTTTCAATAAAAGACAAATTAAAAATATCAACAGCACTTAATAACTTTATCCAGAAGTTTTTTTTATAATTTGTTTGAAAAGTAATCAAGTGAAATAATAAGTACTATATCAATAAACATATCAAAAGATATTTCAGTTACTAACTATGATATGCCAAAAACAAGTACCTATCAAGTTTTTTCAATTCTCTAAGGCCCAAATAGACAAAAAATAACAAAAACAGGTTATTTATATATGTAAAAGTGATATCTGCAAAACTTCATTTTTTTCTTTTAAATGTATTTTAAGAAGAAAAATAATCACAGTTTTAAGATCTCGCTTCATAATAAATACTTCCATTTTAAAAAGCCTCGCTTAATAATAAATACTTCTAGTTTAAAAAGTTAAACTTTTTTGATGCTGTCTTTTTTTTCAAGTTCTTTTTAAGATTCTTTCTGGTGACTAACACGAGGTTCTTTTTCATGTTGATTGACCTTTTAGCCTCCAGAAAAAATTCTTGATCAGTTTGGATATTCAATCATCTACAATACAGTTTTGTTAAATACCAACCATGGCACTGCATGGTGATAGGAAGAGCCTGTCTTAGTTTTGAGAAAGATTTCAAACAATTATTTAAATGCAGCAAAGCCTTTTGAGTTGATCTATCCTCCATACAGAGTTTTAAAAACAAGGAACCATATCTAATAAAAAAAGAAATGCCACTGTCTTTACCTTTTTCTCGTTCATTTCTTGGAGCTATCATCATATTAGTAACCCTTAAAACCAGGTCTCTCAAACCCTCAGAATCTGCCATGAAATTTAAGAATAAATTATTATTAAGTATATAAGAAAAACTTTGCCTTGAAAATAAAAACTATTAAGATTATACATAAACTGTATCTGGGTTAATAGCAGGCTCCAGGTTGAAGAAAATAAAATCATGTTACAACTATTTCAAAATATAAGCCAACTAGTTTTAGCGCTGTTTATAGTCTCTCCTATTAAATTTCTCTGTGCCTTCATTAAAATTCTTCAGATCCTCTCTTGCAACCTTGTAGAAGGATGATCCAATATGTAGCTCATTCTAATCAAACCTGATAATCTCTTTAAGTTTTTTTATTACCAAGGTACTATTTTGTTTTATTTATTTATGTTAATACTTTATTAACATTTTTTTTTTATTTATTACTGGTTTATTTACAATTAAAAAGTACATTATTTATTACCTAATAGTAGCTCCATAAAAAAAAGAGTTCTCCATAATAAGTCTTGTTTTGCACATCCATTACAAAAGAAGAAACACATCTGTGATTGAGATTTTTGATCTGTCTTTGCAAATAAGATACTTGAAAAACAATCATCACAATAGGCTTTGCAAATTTTACCTTTAAATACCTGGCTGCTTTTACAAATTGTATCTATCTTAGCACATTTTTAACGTTTGGGAGCTAGTTAATAGGCCGCTTGTTAATATAATAATTGAGATGAAACTGTCGCCTTCTGGAATTATTCTATATCTTCTTCTTTTCTTTTTCATTTGTGTCTTTCTTGTCAGGACAAGCTTTATTAGAAAGTACTACGAATTTTTAAATTACATCTCATAGATTTATTTATCATAATTCATTTATCTTAATTAATCATTTATAAAATAAATTCATTTATTCATTCAATGACTTATTAAACAGTTGTAATTTTTTGCTTACTCTTATTTTAGTTTTTAGCCATATGTAAAACGCATGTATCATGACAACAAATATGCATATAATACATATGTAAAATTTATTTATTATGACAACAAACATGTATATAATATGAAAAAAGCATAAATTATGACAACAAATACGTATGTAGTACATATGTAAAACGCTAGTATCATGAGAACAAATATGTTTATATAAAATAGGATTACGCTAGGTTTTTATAAGGCTGATCCTTAGGTTCTTGCTACGTATTGTGTTCTATAGGATTACGAAAAATAGCAAAAAATTATTTATAAGAGTTTCGAAGATGTGTTTGTACGATTTAAATCTCTAAAAGTGAGTCAGCAGCTTTCAACTAACTTCAAGATGTTTTTTAAATGTCTTTTGAAGTAAGGATCAATAATAACAAGAAGAACGTAAAAACTTTACCTAGCTGTTTAATAGGACGTAAAAAAAAAAAAGACAGTTACCTAGCTGTTTAATAGGACGTAAAAAAAAAAAACTTTGACAGTTTTGTCGCAGTTGTTCATCAATTCTTAACCATAAGGTTAAGAATTCCTGAACAACGGTGAGGTAACAACTGCGAGCCTTAAGTTTAAAAATTATTTGCAATAGATTTTGACTGCAATAAAAAATTTACAAACAAAATAAAGCATGCATTTTCATCAAATTTAATCAAACGATAAAAGCTGTTCCTAACAACAGTATACTAATCACGTGATTAAAACTACATTTTGAAAAATCTACTTTCACAATTCACTTGAAAATTTCGAAATCAAGTTATTTTTCTGAATCTTAATTGGTTATACTAAACTATCTGTGTCTGGTTATCATGAAAGTGTTAATTTTTTTTATTAGACCGCCTAAATAAAAGTGTAAAACTTTCCTTATTTTTTAACAACAAATATGACATTTTTTTTCAAATGAAACTATCAAAAACAATATAAAGCTTTATTTGGAAACTTGAAATTTAGCGTTACGTCATTTCATTTAAACTACTTGGAATAATATCATAACAGTTTAGCATACGGTTGCTAGGAAAATGGAAAATGTTAAATTACGTTATTTTTATGTTGTGATTTTTTAAATTGATTTAATGTATATTTTATAAATAATTAAAATATTTTTATTGCTAGGTACATGAGTAATTTATTATTATTTACAAAAAATAATTGTGAGTTATATAAATAGAGCTAACGGTTTTAAACGCAATCAAAATAATTTCAAACTTTTTAGCATTCCTAACAGTTCATTTTAAAAGTCAAACTTTTAATGATGTTGGAAATAAAAACAGTTTCATGGTTATTGCTGGTATATTTAGCATTCTTAGTTTGCGTTAACGCTGATCTTGAATGCAAAGAAGATATATTCAAAGAGGTAAAAGATAATGTTGACTGCGGCTACTTTACTAGCATCTGCATAAGAAAGTGTCAAACTTATCAGGGATACACAACAAAATGTGCATTTGCAACTGACTCATTTGGTAAAAAAATATTTAATAAAAATGGCTGCTCGTGTGTATGCAAAGGAAATTCAAACTCAGTAATAACGCCTATCGGCCATACACTTCCGCCAGTTCAAACAATTTCTCCGGTTCAAACTTTTGCATCATTAAACGCTTTTAGAAACACTATATTAGTAATTCATAACAATTATCGAAAAATGCATGGGGTGCCATATTTGAAATTAAATCAGGAATTGAATTTTTATGCTCAACAGCGGGCGGAAATGTGGGCGCAAATGGGCATGTTAATGAAAAATCCATTTGGTCCAGCAGAAAATCCTTACTGGGCATATAATACTGCACCTCCAAATGGTGAAGATGCTGTTAAAGTATGGTATAATGAAATTAAGGACTGGAACTTCAAAGCTAATTCTGAGACACAAGCAAGTCCTAAAACGGAACATTTTACACAGGTAAAAATACCTTTATTTTTTTTTCCGTTATTGAGGTGCTCCAAAAGGGCCTAATAGTCTTAACAAAGAGCACCGCGAAAAAGCGGTGAAAATATATATATATATATATATATATATATATATATATATATATATATATATATATATATATATATATATATATATATATATATATATATATATATATATATATATAGATATAGATATAGATATAGATATATATATATAGATATATGTCTTATACTGCTGAGTTAGGTGAGCATGATAATGTCATACTCACCTAACGTTAAATAGCCTGCTGCTGGGGGCTTCAGTACATACATCGACTGACAAATGGCCTGACTCGCAGTAGAGTGCTGCTACATCGACTGAGGGTTTGGTATAAGTCAGCAACCTTTTCATTTATTATTCTTCGTTTTCCCTCATCGTTTTCTAAAAACGCTCACTTAATTTAGGCTAGCAAAAAAAGTGAGCAATTGCGCATATAAATATGCTATAGTAGATATATATATGTATATATATATATATATATATATATATACATATATATATATATATATATATATACATATATATACATACATATATATATATATATATATATATATATATATATATATATATATATATATATATATATATATATATATATATATATATATATATATATATATATATATATATATATATATATATATATATATATATATATATATATATATATATACTAGAGGTAATAATTTTGACGAAATTTTTCAAATTTAAAATATTATACTCTCTAGATAGCTTCAAATATTAAAATATAACTCGCAAAAAATTTGAGCTTAACAGGACCACTCGATCCTTATCCCCTAGGCATTTTTTGCGGAAAAAATCTCAAAAAACCATCAAAAACAGTCGGCTTCATTGGTTTAAGGATGCACACCGAACTTTCTTAACAGTTAGCAATAAGTTCTGTTTATCTGTATTGTTATTGTATCGATGACCAATTGTTGCATTATGCCAACGGCTCTTTCTGAATGATCACTTACCAAAATTAAAAACTTGGCATATTTCTTGGATTGTTTATACCAATACGCAGGAGAAAATGTAAGCCAATCTTTTATCTTTTGTTCTTCTAATCCAACTCTATTAATTATAAGATATGAAATCTTGTCAATCAACAGAGCAACGGAAGAAGGGTGTTCACTAATTTCTATTTCCATTTTTATTTTATCTTTTATATCTGTTTTTGGTTTATTTTCAGTTTTACCAGTGTGAAATTAGCATTTTATCAGTTAGAATACCTCTTACAATTTTTTCTCCATCTCCATAAATAACACATTATCGTCTAATAAGGCAAGAAGAATGATTTTTGAATGTAAATACCAACTATGTTTTTATAAAGAGTTTAAACTGGATCTACAGCATCTTGTTTGGCATAAAGTTTTGGGTACTGTTGTATCTGGTGTATTGCTTTTATATCAAGAAAATTAGCTCTTATAGCGTCATTAGCCTGTAAATATTATTTAGCATAAACGCAAACAGAAAACTCACTTATTAGTTTAATTTCTGTTTTAAGTGTATTGTTTTGATTTACAAACTCAAGTTGTTTGGAAAGAGGCTTTAGCTTTAGATAGTACAATCCTTTTGACAGGAACCTAGCATGATGAATTGCTTTGGATTTTCTTAGTTTTACTGAAGTTGGAGAAAGGTAACTTACAACAAGTTCTGCAAGCTCCTTTCTATCTTCTCTAACTATAACTTTATTTTCTTTTCAAATTTTAATGTATTCTTGACAAAGGTTTTAAGACTCCAGTGCCACTTTCTCAAGAAAATTTCCCTTTACTGCTTTCCTATTAAACTTTTTAAACTCTCTTTGATTGTAACTAAAGTCAGGTTTTTCAAAAATTGTTTTAATTTTTTCAAACATATGATTATCTGGTGGAATGCTCATCTGAGACGGAATTACAAAAATGAACACTTTTCAATTCACATATATGATGTCTGCATGCAATAAGTAAAAGATATTTGTCCATCATGTTGGATATTCTGATTAAGGAAGCTTTATTTAATCTACTGTAACTTGAAGTAGTATCAAAAAATATTCCTCCAACTTTTGATTCAAGATTGTATTTACTTAGAGAAGGTTCATTACATCATTTAACTGGTCTACAACAGAGGGTGATGGTAAAGACGGTACTCTAAGAAGGTGAGTCTCACCCTCAATACTTACAAAAACAGCAAGTCTATTATTTTTAATTGTTTTTCCATTTTTTATTTCAATTAATATTTTCCATTAAAATACACTGTGCATGTGTGTAGGGATTCATTCATTGTTTTTTGAATATCTTCTTTTGCTATTATGCTTTTATTACGATTAGCACATTTCATTTTTCTAGCTGCTGTTTAAAATCTGTTAGATCTGTTCCCAATTGAGTTAAAACAGCACTTGTAACTTTGTGCAAAACATTTGAAGAAATATTACTGATTACAGCCATCCCAGCTACATTAACAGTAAAACTGTTTCTCCGTAATTCAGCTGTGACTATCTGTTAAAAAGATTCTTTTTCAAATCATTCATTAGGATCATAATCAAAATTGCACGAAGGTTCTTCGTTGGTATCTTCGTTGGTATCTTTGGTGGTATCTTCGTTGGTATCTTCGTTGGTATCTTCGTTGGTATCTTCGTTGGTATCTTCGTTGGTGTCTTCGTTGGTATCTTCGTTGGTATCTTCGTTGGTATCTTCGTTGGTATCTTCGTTGGTATCTTCGTTGGTATCTTCGTTGGTATCTTCGTTGGTATCTTCGTTGGTATCTTCGTTGGTATCTTCGTTGGTATCTTTGTTAATCTCAATAAAAGATAATTTTAACAAAAAGAAAACCTTCAACTCTTTAAACCTTTCTTTAACTGAAAGTGAATGAACATTATTTTTGTTGAGCTTTTTTTATTTTAAATCATTATTATTATTTTTGTTGAGTTTTTTTATTTTAAATCTTTTTAAGTGCCATGTATATAGTAAATAAGCTTATAAGTTTTGCAACCTCATTTTTTGAGGTTTAAATGAAATATATACTTTTTTTCTGTATTTCTTATCTTCTGATCAAAGAGTAAAACTCTTTTATTCCTGGTCCTCAAGTCCTTAACTTTGTCTGCATCGGATCTTTTTTTGTGATGATTGTTTTATTTAATATAAATTTTAAAATCATGTTGGTTTGCCAAATCTGCATTTGATCCCCTTTTTTCATGTTTTTTAAGTTTTGAATATTCATTATCCAGATTTGAAAGATTCTTTACTGTACTTTGATTATCTAATATAAAAAGTTCAGCTTTAATAGATGCTCTTTTATCTTTACCAAAGTACATTCAGATTTACTTTTTAGTGCACATCTTTCAAAGTTTTTCTGAGAAGAACAAGCAAGAATAGTGTCTTTTTATGATGTTCGTAGCAAATGGTTGTAATGTTGTAAGCTATGTACTGTAGAATTTCTATTCCTGTTAAAAGTTGACACCCTTAATTATAAAAAAGACGAAGTAAAAAGTTTTGCTTAATAAAAAAATTAAGGTTAATTTTTTGAATATTAGCTTTTATGGCTAGTTTAGCTTCATTGATAATGAATATTTTTTTTGTAGATCTTGGTTTCCCTTTATTACATATTTTCTGATTATTTTCCTTGTTATCAAAACTTAAATTGATTGACACAAAAATGGCAGTAAAGCAATTATTAAATCTACTTTATTTCTTATTATCTTCTTCTATAATTAAAAAACTAATAAATTGGTATGTTTAATTAATGAAAGTATTCCCCATAGATTTTCAATTAGGATTAGATCTGGACTACCTGCAAGACATTTAATTACGTTAATATTTTTTTTCTCTAAACCAAGCTTTTGTAAGATTTGAACTATGGGTAGCAGCATTGTCATGTTGAAAAGTGAAATTTTCACTCATCAATTCTTCACCAGCAAACTAATTTCTAATAAGTCAATGTAGTCCTGTGAATTCATTTTTGTTAAAATCCATGCAAGTGAAAGTTTTCCAGAAAAGGAAAAAGCTCCTCAAACCATAACAGTTTCAGCACTAAAGTTACGACTTAGCTGAGCTTCTTCTCTTTTCATAGTTCATGCCAGTAATATTGATAGCCATCAGGACCATTTAGATTGAACTTTTTTTTATAACTAAAGAGAACTTTATTTTTTCTTTTTTTTTTTCTTATTTCACCTCCCAATTCCGAGAAGGTCATTACAGCCAAGGAGGCTAATTTTTTTTTTTTTTTTTTAATGGTAACAACCCTCTCTCAACTCTATAACTTCGAAAGACGAACCTTGAAAACCAAGGCCGCTGCGCGGATAAATAAGTTAAGCGCAGTACTTCTAACTTGATACCACTCTTGCAGCCAAGACATTTGTTATTTTGCAAATTATAATCTAGTTTTTTCATGGCAAATAGTAAATTTTGGTTTTGATTTACGCTTTTTCCAAACTGTGTTTGGATCATTATGTAAGATTTGTCTCTCACGTTCAACAGTTACAGTTGATTGTGAATCAGCACGAATTTGAGATGTGATCCTGTGCTGAGCAGCAACACGACGTACAATAGCTTGTTTAGTACGATTATCAATTTTACATTTGCCACCACTTCCCTTATAAGTTTCATAATTAACGCAATATATATATATATATATATATATATATATATATATATATATATATATATATATATATATATATATATATATATATATATATATATATATATATATATATATATATTTATTTAAAAACAAATAACTATATAACAATATTAGTTGATAAACCACTACATATAATACATCAATAAAAAAGTTAATAAACAATACTACCTATTTTAATATAAACTAAACATGATATCTACTATAAAAGATAATATATATTGTAATATAATAAACTATTTATGTTATATAACCATTTTAGGTGATTTGGAAATCAACGTCAGAACTTGGTGTTGGTCGTGCCTATAATTTAAATACTGTCTATGTTGTATGTAGTTATTATAACGGCGGAAACATTTTTGGACAATACGGAAGCAACGTGATGCCACGCCTAGCCTAAATTTGAACATTAAAATTTGTGGGTTTATGTTTTGTTGTGTTTAGCTTTATTTATGAACAACATTTATTTTAACTATATTTGAAATACTGTTTATATACAAAAAAAAAATTTTTGATATGTTATCTCATTTTATATATAATTTTGAAGACATCGCATCACTATGGAAATTTTTTATAAAATTTGGAAGAGACGACGCACAGTCGAGAACGGTACAACAACACATATCAAAAATGATTTAATAATTTTGCTTTTGACATTTTTTTTTGAATTTTATTTAATAACTTAATAGTTAATATTTTCTATATTGAAGCAATTTTGCATAATTTATGTAAGAAGAGAAATTTTGAAACCGTAGTTTTTAAAATATATTTGCAGATGTTTATTTCAAACCTGTTCGCTTCATCACCTTAAAAGTTAATTAAAAGCTTTTTAGGAGTAGTTATAAAGTATTTTAGGAGTAGATATAAAGTATTTTAGGAGTAGTTATAAAGTATTTTAGGAGTAGTTATAAAGTATTTTAGGAGTAGTTATAAAGTATTTTAGGAGTAGTTATAAAGTATTTTAGGAGTAGTTATAAAGTATTTTAGGAGTAGTTATAAAGTATTTTAGGAGTAGCTATAAAGTATTTTAGGAGTAGTTATAAAGCATTTTAGGTTATTAAAAGACTGATCTTAAAAAGATTTAATGACATAATTTTAAGGAGATTTTAAAGTAGTTTTACTTTTTTAATCAAACGGTATAGTTTACGAGTAATTAATTGGACAATAAAATGAGAGAAAAATATAAATTCTTTAAGTTAAACAAAACTTTTGGTAGTCACCCATGCTTCTTCACGCTTTATATTTACTAAATATTACTAAATGCGGTATTGTGGTTTATCCTCCTTCGGATATTTGTCATGTAGAGGCCACATTCAAAGATCTGCAAAAACAGAACATCATAACCCGCTTTACAGACCAAGAGTAAGTAAGTATGAGAAGAAAGAAGGATCATAGAGCAAAAGTTAGAAGAAGTCAAATGAGAAAGATAGCATAGAGAAAGATATTCAGCGGCGGCGCTAAGCAAATCGTGGACGACGGCAAAATTAGCTTTGCGGGGCCCCTTTATGTAAAATAAAAAACTTATAAAAATAATCCTTGATTTGGAAGAAGCTTGAATTTTTTAGATTTTATTGAAAGTTATTAACACAAGTCAGAGCTGTTAATATTAATTATTTTAAACATATTTATTTTACACCTAATTTTGATACAGGTATTCACACTTATTTGTTCTTAAAATTTAAATATTAGGTTTCATTATAAGTTTAGAAATTTAGATTGAAAAATATAGAAGAAGCGTATAAGTTTTATTGTTAATAATCATATAACTTAATAACATTAATTTTACGAAAAAAACATAAATTAAAAAAGATAAACATTTTGGTATTTTGCCTTGCTGAACTTTTTTAAAATTGTGTCATAAATAACACCCGCTGCTATTTCAACTTCAATCGAAAAAAATGGATAAAGCAAATAGTCTTTCTTAGCTTTCGTGCTTCTTTAGTAGGTCTTAATCAGTTTTAACTTTGAGAAGCTTTTCTCAGCAGAAGCTCTACTTACTGGAATTGTACTGTACTTACTGGAATTGTACTGTACTTACTGGAATTGTGAGCATGATTCTGATTATTATATAAAGATTTGGATATTATCTAAAAATTATTATGTAAATGTTTCTTCAAAACTATTTTTTTAAATGTACTGTATAAGTTGGTTTGCATCATTTATATTTTCTAGTAAAGTGAATTTTAAAATTTGCAGTTCTTCATAAAGTTCAAAAGGATCTATGTTGCTGTTTTCACCTTCCCAAAGTATTGTACCTAAATTATTACAATGCTTGAGCAGGTCGTCTCTTGGCAAAAGAAATATCGTAAATAAAAATCAAAACGGTCAAAATATTCATAGGGCGCTTCGAATCAGTGTTGACTATGACTGTGTCTATCATTGTGTTGAAAAAATTTACTTTTTATTGTGTTTCAGCATAACCGAACATTCGTTTTTTTTTGTGCCATTCATTTTTCTTTAAATTGTGACTCAATTTCGTAAGCGCTGTTTTCCACACACAATCGAGCATCTGCAAGTTTTTTTTCAAATCCAGTATTGCGGAATACTTGAATCCAAGTACAAAATGAACGTAAAGTATAAACAGCGACTTTTAAGTTTACTGGAATCTATTGCCATAGCTTACTTATATTATTTACATGTAATAAAATCTCATACCACACGTGTATAGAAACAATAAATTCGAAAGTTAACGTTTTGTTCAAAACTGCTTTGCAGTCGCTCAGAGTTTTCAAATTTTTTGTTTTATTCTTCAAGTCATTCACACATTCGATAACAATATCAAAATGCAACTATATAGCTTTTACTGCTCCTGTTCTACTCTCCCACCTTGTCTCTGAATGATGTTTTAGTGTTAGTTTCAATTTAGTTTTTGTAAGCTCCCAACGCTTGCTTGACTTCGAAAAGAGTACATATATTTTATTAAAAAAGTCAAAAAATGTTTTAGCTGTTGTAGAAGAATTAGCTGCATCTATTAAACGTAAATTCCAGCTATGACATCTGCACGGTGTGAAGAATGTTTTTGGATTAATGTTGAGTATTCTTGTTCTGACACCTTTATTAATGCATTCCATATATGGCGCCATTATTATATTTATGTCCTCGACAATTTTGTATATCCAGACCATTTCTCTCTAGTTCTTGAAATATGGAGTTTGCTCAATACTCTCCTGTAATTTCGGTAACAGCAATAAAACCAACAAAATGTTTCTCTATTGATTCAGTTGAGAAATTGCAAAATCTTAATATTATTGACATTTGTTCAATACCACTTGCATCTCGGGTGCAATCAAGCAAAAAGGCATTGTATTTTGCTTGTTTAACTCTGTGTATAATTTCATCAATAGCTGTTTCAGACATCAATGTAATTAATTCATTTTGAATATCCTGGCTCAGATAATTTTGAACAATTTGCTTTTCAATAATTTGTTGCAAGTGCTTCTTTAGCGTCAGTTCATATTTGGATGACAACTTAAATAAGTTTATAAAGTTACTACTGTTCCTGCTATTGTCCAGGTTTAGTGATTTGCGATGACAGAAAAATAGCATAAAAGTAATTTGAAAAAAATTGTTATTTACAATTACAAAAAAAGTAAATTTTGTCTTTGAAACTTTATACTTTACTTTGTAAGTAAGTAAAATGTAAATTATATTATTTACTTTCTCAAAGAACAGTCATTTCATGTTGAGATAGGTAGCGTATTCAAAGCATAATTTCTTGCTACTCTACAGGATGCTACCCATGCATGCAAACCTTGACTAAGAAACCATCCGTTAGAGCGAGCTTTTTCTACAGTTTATTTTTTTTTTTGTATTTGCCTAATAATAAACCCTCAAAATATTTTATCCTCCGTTTCATGCCATTAGCGTGAGAGCGACGAGTTTTTGGTAACATTTATATATACATTTTATCAAATTAAGCGACATCATTGTTAAAATTTGTCGAAGAATAACGAAAAAAACTGAGTTTTTATAAGTGACTTTAGTCAATAAGAGCATTCTTATTTTTTAAATAATAATATCAATTTTTTTTTATTTCGAAGTTGTTCATTGATTATTGTTTTTTTTTTTTTTGTTTTTTATTGCATAAAGACATTCTTTAATGCAGTGGCTGATTTTTAAATTTTATAATCTTTTTTCTAAATTTACGGTTATAAATAATTACTTTTCTTTTGTAAAATATACAAATGGCGGGGACAAAAAGAAGACAAAAATAGTCTTGTTATTAAACCCCTAATTTTCCGTAAATAATTTAGTCACTAAAAACTTCTCATTAAAAAAATGATGATTATGTGATTTCTAAAGTTTGAGTTTAATAAGTTTATTTTAGTTCACAATTATAGTTTTGTAACTTTTGGAAATATAACTGAAAAATATAAGTATTAAAATATAAAAAATATAAAAATATAAGTAGCTGAAATATCAAGTTGTCCTGTTTCAGTATTTTATTTTAGAAAAAGAGAAATTTTTTTCTGAAATAACATACTAAACAGTATAATTATTGCATAAATGACAGAAATGTTGAATTTATTTTTTAACATATAAAAATAACGGTTATAAAAAATCTAATAAAAATATAAGTTAAACAAAATACAAGATTTAATTTTAAATTGATTCAAATAAAAGTGGTATTGCATGGTATTATACCACGTCAAACATACAGTAAAAATATTTCATAATTTGAAATTGAGACAACTTCTTTTGGAAAAAATCCCCCGGGAAAAAATCCCCCGGGAAAAAATCCCCCCGGAAAAAATCCCCCCGAAATAATCCCCCGAGAAAAAACCCCCTCGAGAAAAAATCCCTCCGGAAAAAATTCCCCCGGGAAAAATCCCCCCAAAAAAAGAAAATTTATTTTCACATAAAAATTATCAATAAAAAAGTTATACTTATTTATCTTAAATAGTTTTATAAAATACTTCATTTTTCATCAAAATGTAAGGTTATGCGCTATTTCTCGGTTGTCGGTAAAAAATGATAATAAAAAAAAACTCTCCAATTCCTAATATTCTATTTTAAAGCTTTATTTAAAATAAAATTTTTATTTTTTCAACTGTAAAATATGCGCGGAGTATTGCTACATCAACTATCTTATAGCCTGACTCGCAACGGAGTGCTGCTACATCGACTGTGGGTTTGGGTTGGGCAGGCAGTCTATTAAATAATTAAAATATATATATATATTTTCATATTGTTTTTGTCTAGTTTCACTTAATTTCCTTTTATTTTTTTTAAATATTTTTTTAGCTTAAAAGTCCTTAAAATATACCGCTTAATTAACTACGATGGTTCGCAAAAAAGTTCACATTTTACCAGTTCGCAGTTTGTCAGGTTAGGGTTAGGGTTAGGGTTTCACATTCGCTACCTTCGAGCAATAACTTGACGTTTTAATGAAAATGAAGTATTTTATATAAATATTTAAAATAAATAAAGAAATAAATATAACTGCATATTGATAATTTTTATAAAAAAAAAATATTTCTTTTTTTGGGGGGATTTTTTCTCGGGGGATCATTTCGGGGGGATTTTTCCGGGGGGATTTTTTCCCGGGGGATTTTTTCCCGGGGGATTTTTTCCTAGAACTTTTCTTTTATCACCAAACCGAATAAATTTTTTCAATCAGCAGCATCTTTAATTAATAATATCATTATATAGATACGTACAAATGAGGTCTTTTAATGTGTTGTTAAAAACCATATTAAACTCATTTAAAGAGTTTATCGATAACCAATAATATAATGATGTCTACTTGCGTAAATTTTGAGGTGTAATATTAATATAATGATGAAAAA